GAAAATTGAATTTAAAAAACGTGAAAAATCCATCCTGGCCCATGTCTACGGTCAATGGCGCATGTCAGCCCTTGTTTACCAAACATACCAACACAGATTATATCTAACGATACTGTTTACTCCCTAACACGAACTGAGAAAGAGGTCATGAGAAAACATTGAAAGTTGTCCATGTGTAACAACCCTATACACAGACTGACAAAAAGAAGAACATGCCTGGGGCATCATGTTGTCCTTATACACAAACGTACACGTAGTAGTACAGTGGGGCATTGTGTTGACTAAGACAGCCAGTCTAACGCTGCAACTAATAACTGAAATGCTATTCAGTTTTTTCGTCCCTCTGTTTACTTTGGGCCTCGTGGCACTATTGACTAGTAGTGATAATATTTGAAACAAGAATTCGGAGATCTCATACCTCCATGAAATATATGAGTTTTTCTAAATGATTTTACACACACACACACACACACACACACACACACACACACACACACACACACACAGACGCGCCAAAAACAATACCTCCATTTTTCATGGAGGTAACAAGTTAGCATTTCTCAAAGGTACTCAGGCTAGGGACATTTATCGGGCTCTCAGTTCCGGATTCTTCGACACCTGTGAATTGACTTGTCATGAGTAATTGTTAACGTCTGACATAACAAAAGGTTTGAATGAATTCATTCTCGCATGTGTAGATGAGTCCATACGTGTATATTGATGTGTTAAAATACTCTCCAAGCAGAGGTTTAGGTTATTTTTGGCGTGTTTTAGGGGTTTCTTTTTTGCACTGGGTTGGGTGAAAAAACATTCCAGTGCAGAAAAAGAAACCCCAATAAAAAGCCTAAAAACACGCCAAAACCCCCAAAACCCAAACCTCTGCTTGGAGAGTTGTGTTAAAACACAAGCCTGTACCGATAGCAATGTGAAGGTAGACGTGTACAAAACTTATATTTTATAAAACTCATGAAATATATTTCTATCTATTATTCTCCGTCGAATGACTTGCGTTGTATAGAAATGTAATACTACCTGTGTTTACTACCCAGGAGTAGCAGACGTGACGATAACCAGCGAGTTTCCATACATACCGGAAAACGCCTTCACCTGGCTGTACTGCTACCACACCGGAACGATTATAAACCAAAGAGGGTATCAGTTCGGGCTTGAACTGGACACAGGGTCAGGACGTGGGTTTATTTCAGCCAGGAATACCTACAATAACCCGCGGCGTGTAAGGGTGTGGTATTATGACAGCCGAAATAATAACGCATCGGTTCATCTTACCAACGCCATCTCCTGCATAGTTCGTCAAAACGGTGTTACGGACAAAGTTATCACGTTCAAGATGAGAGAAGACGGTAGGGATATTCTGTAGATTCGAAATTTCATGATATGTATTGATTGTTATTAGACTCTCTGTTTCTCTCACTCTCTCTGCCTGCATGTCTATCTGTGTCTCTATTTCTCTGTCTCTCTCTCTCTCCCTCTCTCTAGCTCTGTTTCTCTCTGCCTCTATTTGTGTCTCTATCTCCCTGTCTCTGTCTCTCAGTCTGTCTTTCTCTCTCTCTCTCTCTCTCCATCCCCCCTCTCTCTCTGTCTAGATATAGATAGATAGATGCATCCCCAAGTCCCAGCGTCATTGTTCAACAAACGAAAACTGTCTATTTCAGCCGACGCGAGGCCCCGGCTGTTCTCCCGTACCGTGAATGTGGGAGACTCGGTAACGTTAGAGATGGTTCGGAACTCTGCATCCACCAGGACTGGAGACTTGGAGTGGAGGAAGAACGGAGTCGTTCTACAGGGTCAGACGGCTCTCACACTCAACATCAACAACGTCCAGTCTTCAGATGAAGGGATCTATGAGTGCTACTATGACGGGGCGTATTCTGACAGGAAACAGGGCATCATGAGGCTCATAGTTAGGGGTAAGTCTATTCACGTACATGTACACATTCAAGATGGCGTCTCGGTCGTCCTTTGTGGGCCGCAATTTCACAACAAAAACCTTATGACGTTTCCTTACACATGGATGCATACGTAAGGGTGTGGGGGTGGGGTGGATCATCACATTAATTACCTCCATGAAAAATGGAGGTATTGTTTTTGGCGCGTCTGTGTGTGTGTGTGTGTGTGTGTGTGTTTCCGCACATTTGTAGTCAGCAGAACTTCAGAGTGCCTTTATGGATTGTGATGATATTTGGTATTCTGGTAGGTCTTAAAAAGCCAAAGGTCAAGGTCAAATATGGGCCTCTTGGTGGCTGACCTTGATACTGCAGCAGAACTTCCGGTTTTTGTATCTTTTGCAAGGCAGGGAAAACAGATGTGCAGGCAGCGCGGTTTGATTAATGAGGTTCTCCCTGTGGACCCCTTAGTTGACCAGATCTATTACAGCCTGACCTATTTTAGACCTATTTTTGTGTATTAGCAGAAAAGCTGTGTGTTTGAAAACAAAAACCTGTGTTATTTTGTTCTGTACTGTAGTGTACTGTGTACATTTACGAAAACTCATATATTTCATGGAGGTATGAGATCTCTGAATTCTTCTTATTAATGAAAATAAAACATTATTATTTGCTTTATTGAGTTGCACTTATGTTGCCATATGTAGATATGACACCACATAACAAAGCGTTGACGGTTGCGTTTCTCCATATTTCCATTTGATGTGCACTTAGGATGATTCAGTTATGAGTTTGTGAACATGAATAATGGTTCAATTCTGTCCAACTTTAAGTAAGCGTGATGGGAAATTTAAGACAACTTCTGAAGAAAACAACAACCATCATAATTATCGAACATATTGTTTTTCCGAGTTTTTTCCTCTTCTTCGTCCGTTCCAAACAAATTATGTTACAGCCTGTGCAGAGAACAAGTACGGATCCGACTGTGCCAATGACTGTCCTGACTGTTATAACGGAGGGGTGTGTCATGATCAGACAGGCGTGTGTGTCTGTCCTCCGGGCTTCAGTGGAACTTACTGTGGGACAGGTAAAAAAATAAGTATGTTCAAAAGGGCTTGTCATGGCTGTTCTAATACATATAATGCACGATCCAATCACTTTTTGTGTGTCCAAGGGTGCAAAACAGGGCAAATAGATTTGAAGCAGCTTGATAATTACCTCCATGAAAAATTGAGGTATTGTTTTTTGGTGTGTCTGTGTGTGTGTGAGTGTGTGCGTGTGTGTGTGTTCCCGCATATTCGTAGCAACCGTGATAACTTCAGGACGCCTTTATGGATTGTGGTGATATTTGGCATGCTGTTATGTCGTAGGAAGACAAAGTTCAAGGTCAAATATGGGCCTTCTGGTGGCTGACCTTGGAACTGCAGCAGAACTTCCAGTTTTTGTATCTTTTGTCCTGGACATGCTATGGTCTCCTATTTTTGGTGACAGAATATCATTTCAGTACTAGGATGTTACTGGCAGATTTCGGCACATGTTCCATGTAAGACATCACCAATTTAGCGCGGCGCGCATCCAGGCGCGCGGGGTTCCTCGCGCCCACTTCCCGATCGTATTCGCCATGCCTGCCCGGTGTCACTGCGCCCAGTGCGTACCAGTGCGCCCAGTGTGTACGAGTGCGTTCGAGTGCGTACCAGTGCGCCCATTGCGTACCAGTGCGCCCAGTGCGTACCAGTGCGTACCAGTGGCATAGAATGTGAAATATCACAAGAACACCCGTCACCCAAATCACGAAATCGCCAGGACACGTAACCAAAGTTTCGGGGCGTAGCGTTTGTGTAAGCCATCACGAAACCGCCGGCGAATGCACTTGGGTACACGGCGCCAGCGTTGACACAACCCGACACGACAGCGTGCGAGCGTGCGGCAGACACTGTGCGACGCATCACGACCGGCAACGCATCACGAATTTTGCGGGACACGCCAGACTTGCAATCCGAGTGATGCTGCGCCGGATTTCGATAGACGTTCGCGACGCATCACGACCGGCAACGCATCACGAATATGCGGGACACGCCTGGGACTTGCAAACAGAGTGACTCTGCGCCGGAGTTCGATAGGCGTTCGTGACTGCTGTCACGAAATCGCCGGCAAACGCACCTCACGGGTACACTGCGTCGGTACACGGCGCCAGCGTGTACAAATCTCGATACAAAGGCGTCCGAGCGTGTGGTAGGCACGACATTCGACGCATCATGGCCGGCAACGCATCACGATTCTGCGGAACAGGCACGGCCTGTCGACCGAGCGACGAATGCTTCACATTGACACGAATAAAAGAGTTTGGGCTGCTGTAGTGAAGTCACTGTAGTCAGTGTAGTGAAGAACACCGAGAGGTCACAGAAATGGGAAGCCCGATTTTGTAGTGGTAGTACCTGTAGTATCTGTAGTCAGGATAATGAAGAAAAGAGCTTGGGCTGCTGTAGTGAAGTCACTACAAGCTCAGTTAACGCTGCTGTAAGGGGCGAATTAGGCGTATTCCCACTGTACATAGATATCCAGACGCAACTGATCAAATATTGGATAAGACTAAACAACCTCCCTGATGACAGAATAGTTAAGAAAGCATATCACGAAGCCGTTAGACAAGAGCAGGACTGGGTGGTCCATGTACGAGACACACTCTGTAGACATGGTTTCCAAAATATTTGGTTGAATCCCATTACAGATGCCAAATATTTCGGATTCATTTTCAAAGAGCGCCTTAAGGACGGATTTCTATCTGGCTGGAGGCAAAAGATAAATAGCT